AGAATATCCTTGCAATTTGAACATTAAAGTACAGATTTAAGAGTAACAAAATTTAATTTTAACGTACAAAACAAGTCATGTAAATCTATATTTCATTGCCTAAAATTTGACACTTTCAAATCGGATTCTTCCATTCCAAACCAAAATTGAATTTCGTGAATTTCAATTGCATTATTAATCTTCAACACCTCCGCCATCTACACATGTATATTTACTATATGAAAATATTAAGGGAAATCGATATTCTCTATTGCAAGAATATTAAAATGTTAATAATTTTATATTTTAGTTACGAACTTAACAAATAATATTTTAATATAATTATTCTTGGTCGAACCAAACAATTATGTGGAATCTTTTCTTTTGTTATTAAAATAGGGACATCATCTCCACCTAGCTTTCCCAGAGTAAATTGTTTCGATGATCACTGAACTTAAATCAATGTCTTTCATTAGTCACTGAAATTTAAAATGTCGAGTTTTGATTATTGAACGTAGGGCCATGTCTTCGATTATTCATCGAAATTTAAAATGTCGAGTTTTGACCACTGAATTGTAAAAAATATTGTATATTACTCATTGTAAACTCGATATTTTTCAAAATTCAACATTTATACTAGTGAGTAACTTACAATATTTTTCAAAGTTCAGTAATCAAAACTCGACATTTTAAACTTCGATAAGCAATGAAAGACATGGACCTAATCTCAATGATTAAAACTCGACATTTTAAACTTCGATGATCAATAAAAAACATAGACCTAAATTCAATGACTATTGGAACAATTAATTCTCCTTCCCAATATTAATTCACTGACAGAGGGATTGGAAACAATAAACTTCTTTTTATTTCCCCCACATTCCTTAATTTGTTCCCATTTTCTTATTTTATTAGCCACTTTCTTTTCAAAGCCAAGATTTCTGTGCCATGTCCAGTAAAATAAAAAAAATAAAAAATCATGTGACTGATTCTTTGTAAGAATTATTTTCTCAATTTCACAATGCGAAGTCAGCCACATCTTCATTGACCGTACTAAATCCTATTTAAAGCGGAGAAGTTCAAAATTAGATTAACGTCCCATCAATTGAATTTTTACATGTCAATATAAATTTAATTGTGTTACGTGTACAATCGAAATTGACAATCTCGATTGACAATTAGACATCGGGAGGGGGGGCTCATGCTCAATAAAAAAATCGTGAATCCCATCTCTTATGACTACATTGTCAATCGAGATTGTATAAAAAAAATAATTCATATAAATTAAATGAAAGAAAAGAAGAACATGAAGTGTTTATTTATTATTTTGTCCAACTATCAAATATATCGACAAAGATTTTTAATAGCAAAGTAAAGTATAAAAAAGCGTGATTAGGACTAAATTTTGTTGAATCAATGCTTCGGGGTTAAGCATGAAAAAGCGTGATTAGGACTCAATTTTGTTGAATCAATACTTCGGGCCGGTGAAAGGCATTGCCACTTTTAAAAGAAAAGATGAAAAGATTGGCAAAAAGCGGTTCTAAAGAATATAATATAATAATTCATAATGCCTTTTTGAGAGAATTCAATTTGTATTTGAAACACCTTCTTCAAAAAATTTATTTTCAAACATATATTCTAAACAATATATATATGGAAGCGTTCCTTCTACTCATGAATTTGATAAGTATGTTTAACAAATAATCGTGACATTTAAATGAGGCAAATCAAATAATTAGTATCTCATGGATCTCAAGTAATTATAACTAATTCTCCTATGATTCTAGTAAAATACATAATGACCGTTGGATTTGCTCAATCCTTTTACATGTAAATTTAAAATTTTCTTTACTTTTTAATCACATATTTTTCAAAAAATCGTTATTAAAAAAATATTATCAAAAGAAAAAAAAATGGGACTCAAACATGGGCTAAATCGTATTTATATATTATTTTAAGTCATCAATGAATTTGATATATATTTTTATAAAAAAATTTAAACCTAGAGTTGCACACATCTCCAGTAAAAAGTTAAATGCAATGAATATGAAAAAATCAACCTCAAGAAAAAAATAATAAATTATGCCCATAAATAGTGGTCGGTTTCATGAAATTTTGATGTATGATGTTATTAATTATTGTGATGTTAAGTCAGAAATAACTACTTACAATAGAAACACATTTCTACAAATACATAAACCTCAATTATAGGCAAAATTGAATCTAAAAAAATTTGATGATAAGCTTCTATAATTTTTGAAATCTTAACGGGTGTCTCTATAATAATCAGATACTTTGAAAAGTAACTCTAACATATAAGGTTCGTTTTACTTATAAGTAATTTTAAGTAAAATGGGTCTATTTAATTTCAAGCCTTCCTGATTTAGTACCTTTCTCGTGAGACGATGATTTTTTTTTCCAGTTGAAAATAAGTTTGAATGTTTAAAAGTATGAAAATTGTCCATCAAGTACCAGTTCATCAGAAATTTAGAAGTTTACGGACTCTCTCTCTCGAGAAAGGATCAATGACCAACTTATTACATTTCATAAAGATTTGAAACGAGGAATACGTTTTTTCTATTAATTAATATGAAAATTGGATTTATTAGTCAAAATTCAACAATAACTTCCTTGGCATTTGATGTCTAGCCCTTTGAGAGGGTCTACTATTGCACAATGGATCGACTTAGTCTTAGTTGGCCATCATCTTCGCTAATTGTACAAATTCCTATTTAAAGTACAGAAGTTCAAAATAATGTTTACGTCTCATCAATTGCATGTTTACACGTCGAAAAAAAATTAAATTAAAGAAAAGAAAAACATAAAATGTTTATTTATTATTTCATCCAATTATAAAATATATCGACAAAGATTTTTGATAGCAAAGTAAAGCATGAAAAAACGTGATTAGCACTCAATTTTGTTGAATCAATACAATACTTAGCAGCCGGTTAAAGGCATTGCCACTTTTAAAAGATGATGAAAAGATTGGCAAAAAGCAATTCTAAAGAAAATAATATATTAACTCATAATGCCTTTTTGAGAGAATTTAGTTCGCGTTTGAGCTACGTTTTCTAAAAATCTATTTTCCTTTCAAATTTATTTTCAATCACATATACACATATAATTTTACTTATAAATCAATTTTTTTATAAATTTTTTAATTCCACATTTTTTCAAAAAATATTATTACAAAACTTATTTTTATAAAAGAAAAAAAAGAAACTCAAACAAGGACTTAATCTTATATATTTATTATTTTTAAGTTATCAATGAATGTGATATATATTTTCATAAAAAAATTAAAAGCTAAAAGCTAGAATCATACACATCTTGTTAAATGTAAGAGGTTATTAATTATTGTGATATTAATTCAGAAATAACTACTTATAATGTAAAAATGAGAATGAAAAATATAATCGTTATGGTCCACACAAGAGATAGAAATTTAAATTTAATGGTTTGATGTGATAGATAACAGTCATATTTTTCATTTTAATGTGAAAATAATGAAAAATAAACAGAGCTTAATTTCAAGACTTCTTGATTTAGCACCTTCCTAGTGACACGATGATCTTTTATTTTTTTGGATTTTGCTGGTGTATTTGTGTATGTTTCGGAGGGATTCGGCGAAATTCCTCTTGTACACCAAGCAAATTTTATTTAATTTCTGATTTATTTATTTATTTTTAAAGCAATGGCTCTTGTTGCTTTGTCCTCGGGCAGGGAATAGATGTGACTTCACATGCATAATTTTTCTTATCCTACGTATGATAACGTGGCGACACACAAGTGGATAGTGATAATCAAAATTGACAAAGTGGTGACAGAAACATAGCCCACAGAAATGGCAGATAGATAAACACAAGACTTGGTCCCTCAAATAATGACTCCTCATCCCCATCCTAAATGACAGGTTGTCGTTAAAGTCTAACGCCGTCAACATTCAATGTCGCCTCCGGTTAATTTTCCTCCAATATTCTACATTTTGACAAAAGGTGCACCCGCAAATTAACTATTCCCAGTTCTCTATACAAAATCAGACATTTTATCAAAAACTACAAAAATAATAATTGATTTTTAGCTAAAACAAACCGGTTATTTTCAACACTAGCCTAAGATGTAAAGAAGAAATTGAAATTGGATAGAGGTTTGTTACATGACAGTGCAGAACTTAGTTGTGTGAGAATTTTTCAAGTAAAAATAATTTTTTAGTAATGTGTAGTTGAATAATAATAATAATAATAATAATAATAATAATAATAATAATAATAATAATAATAATAATAATAAGATAGAATGTATAATTAAAAATGAATTAAAGAAAAATTGATTTTCAAAAATCTCTCCCTAACAAGTTCTTAACCCCTATTTGATTTTCATTTTTTGGCTACAAAAATGAAAAATATGTCGTTATCTATCATATCAAGTCAGCATATTTGACTTTCTATCTCTTATGTGGGTCCCTAATGATTATATTTTTCATTCTTATTCTTACAAAAATGGATACCAAACAGGGCCTTAATATAAAATTTCAATAGATCCCTCCATTAAAAGCTAACTGTGCAACTATGATAAAAAGTTAAAGAGCAATTTGTAATGTTTTAAAGATTGAAGTCCAATTTGCTACTAGATCAGTAGCTTGAGGANCAACTATGATAAAAAGTTAAAGAGCAATTTGTAATGTTTTAAAGATTGAAGTCCAATTTGCTACTAGATCAGTAGCTTGAGGATTAGTGGTACAATTTTCCTTGTATTATCAATCGTGTAGCAGAGCAGGAGAGAAACCGGACATTTCATAAAATGATTCCAACGGCAACCAAAACCCGAAGACTAACAGAACATTCAAAAAACGTTAAAACAAGGTGTCCGACGTGGGACCCCGTCTAGTCAGACACTGGAAAAATAATCAATCTTGCCAATTTCTTTCTCTCTCCTCTCACGCGTACGAGAGGGTCGGTGTGGACTCTTTCCACACAACTTCCTCTCTATTTCTATATATACACATGTTACCACTCAACCATTTCTGACATTTATACATACATATTATATACGCCATATTTGTCAGAACAAGTGTTCTGGGCCAAAATCTTGTAGGAATTTAGAAAAATAATGTTCTATATATATAGATCAATCCCTTGAGTGTTTTTCTGTTTGATTTCTTATTTTTGCTAGATAATTTTATTTTGTTTTGACAATAGGTAAATTTGTTAAGATAATTTTGTTTTAGGTGAAAATTTTCTTGATTTTAAAGGTGAAAAATGGGTACAGAGGTTTTGAGACCACAAGATTGTTTAGGAGAAAGGTTCCGGCTGTCTCCGGCGGCGTTTCATCGCCGGAAAAGCACGAAACACGGGGAAGCTGGTTACCGGAAGCCGGTTTTCCGATCTGAAAGGTGGGATCAGAATCAGAAGAAGAAATTCAACAACCAACAGGAAAATTTCATATCCAAAAAATCATCAAGAGCCGATGCGTTGAAATCCAGAATTAATAACGGGCCTGTTATGGGGCAGGTCACCATTTTGAGAAGAGGGGAGTCATTAGATTCTCTAAATCCGAAAATTAACAGCAGCAAAAAAATGGGTTCAGCAAAGCAGAGTCCAGTTGATGATATGGTGGTTTATGGGACCGGAAGAATCGGTCCTGACACTCCAGAAATGGTGCCCAAGCAGATCCGGCTGGGGGCGCGGCCTCCGGCAGCAGGCAGGGGTGTTGCAGACATCTACGCCGGATCGGCGTTTTCCATGTCTCCTTCTCCTAGATCTCTGCCTGTACCTTCGTTCTTCAACAACAAGACACAAAATAGTGCAAGCAAAGTGTTCGACGATTCGGCTACAAGAGATTTGAGGCGATTGCTTCGTCTTGAATGAAAAATTCAGTTAGAGTTGTTGTTATCGGCTTTTTAGGTTCTTATTTCTGGGATCTGGGATTCATTCTGTGAAATTTTTTGACCACGGATGAATCTTGTGATCGAGAATTGAGATGAAGAAAGCTTTTCTGTTCATGTATTTAGCTCTATCTATGATGTTGTAATTAATGGTGGTGGATTCTGGGGTTGCTAATTTTAGGGAGGTTGTGAAGTGTTGTGTTAGTTCATCAGTATGAGAACCTTTGGCAAAAGTTGTAGTACTTCCGTGGGGATGTAAAAAATGTTAGTGGAACTTGTGTAGCTCCGGTGTGGCGGCGGCGGCGGCGGTGGTGGTGGTGTGGGATTAAGCTGTATGATGAAGTAAAATAATAATAAGATAATTTTAGGAAGTTCACTGTGCAAGTCTTGATTCTTTCTTTTTTCATCGTGTTGATTATGCTTTAATATCAAATTGATGAAATTGTGAATTAAAAAGTAACAAGAAGTTCATCTTGTGTTATTTTGTAGATTGATGTTCTATGACGAACAAAGAAAATCCTCTCAGTTATAGTAGCCGAGCAGCCCGAGCCTCGCAATTACTAAGCTCCTCTTTTAGCTTAAGTAAGATGATTGTAAAAATAGTAATGCTGTTTGTACATCATTGTATGTCTAACCTTGTGCAAATAACTTTACTCTTATAAAAATGAGATTTTTTTCTAGCACTGGTTCTTGTTCTATAAAGTAAGGATGTTGATAAGTGTATTTTAAATAAAAATATGCTTATTTTTTGCTTGTTCGATAGTGATTTTGAGAAATTATTTTTTGATTGTTGGA